TGGCCTGATCTCAGCTCACTGCAACCCCCGCCTCCCAGGTTCAAGCAATTCTCCCTGCCTCAGCCTCCCGAGTAGCTGGGATTACAGGCACATGCCACCACACTTAGCTAATTTTTGTGTTTTTAATAGAGATGGGATTTCACCATGTTGGCTAGGCTGGTCTCAAACTCCTGACCTCAGGTGATCCGCCCACCTTGGCCTCCCAAACTGCTGGGATTAAGGCGTAAGCCACTGCGCCCAGCCTCTTCTTTTCCTCCTCTTAGACGGACACCAGTCATTGGATTTGGGGCCCACCCTCATTTCATATAATTTCATTTTAACTTGATTTCATCTGCAAAAACCTTATTTCCAAATAAGGTCACCCTCACAGGTACCAGGGGTTAGGATCTGAACATAATGGGGAGGGGGATACAATTCAACCCATTACATGTGGCTTGCATGGTAGAGTGGTAAAATGTTGGGCTTTGAAATCACAGTAAACTGGGTCCAAGTGCCAGCTCAGCCACTTACCAATTTAAATAAGCCTCCTAGCCTGCTTGAGCCACCCTGTCCACATCTGGAATATGGTGAGCATGTCGACTACCTGGCAGGGCTACTGGGGAGATCACATAGGCGGTATATGCAATACACTGAGTCGTGCTTGGCATGTCCAATGGGGATCCCAACTAAGAGGCGAAGAACGGAGATGAGGAATCTGGTGGGGACCATACTTGGAAATCGAAGCAGGCAGCTACCAGCAGGGACACCAGGCACAGGCAGCAAGCTGGGAGTCAGGGGACAGATCTCAGACCCTGGGGAGGACCCCTGTCCTAAGAGAAGGCTGATCAGTGACAAGTTGTTAGAGCCAGGACCCTAGTCCCAACCCCATTCCTAGAACCTGGTAGGAAGATGTCTAGGTTTTAGTCTAGGGTACCAGGCAAGATTCAACCAGCAGCCGGGGTATCTGGAGACTGAGGACCAAAGGTTGGAGCTACAGCAGCTTAAATCGTTCTTACCTTCAGTTTTGGGAGCTGGGGACGTGGTAGGACGGATGGAGCCAGATGACCTCAAGCAAGGATAGAGGAGACTGGGAGGAGGAGGAGCCAGGAGGATCCCAACAGATTCTTGGCAAGTGGAAAGCTGTTTATGGGGATGAAGTAATATCCTGGGAAGATTGTCGGGTCCAAAGGTTTAGAAATAAACCTTTTTTTAATAAACCGCCGGGTCCAAAGGTTTAGAAATAGTACAGAAATTTCTTTGGTGAGGCAGGAGGGCTGACAAAACACCTGTAAGACCAACGAAAGTGTTGTACAGGTGAGGGGTTTGATGTCTTTCAAGGACATGATTACTGTAAATACTATAGCAGAGACCAAGGAGCTTCTCTCCAAGCCTCAGTTTCCTTCTGTTAAAAAAAAAATGTGGGATCGGAATAGATGTATTCCTCAAATAGACTTGAAGGTCTCTCATCCAGCTCTGACAGCCTATGATTTTATGAATCATCCTCAAAGAAAACTTGCACAAGTGGGAAGAGCCTGCCAAGATTGGGCCTTTCATTCTGAGTAATGAACTGAAACAGCAAAGGCTTGACATCTGTTCCCATCTTTCAAGGGAAGTTGGACAAAATAATGCCTTTTTCAGGGAAATCGTAACCAACGGTGAAATGTAGTATTTTCTGCCTTAACCAGAAGCGAAGTGGAGAACTCCAGCCTTCCTGAAGCCCAAGGGAGAACACAAATCCAAACTCCCGGTGAAGGTCATATTGACCAGGTGTCTTCCTGTCGCAGGTACAGAAAGCTGAGGATGTCTCGGTCTCCCAACCCCATTAAAGCCAAAGAGCAGGAAGAACGGCAGGGAGATTTCAAAGGCTCTGAGAGGATGTAGGGGAAGGGCTGGCAAGAAAACCATGTGATTCGCTTTCTCACCAGTCCCTGAAATAATCATTGTCTACAAACACCCCTATCCCCCAGCCACAACTCTCTAATCCAACTTGCCATCAAAAGTCAAAGGGAGGTTCACCACCATCATTGATATTGAGGTTCTTCCCAAGAATCCGCTCCAAGCCCAGGAGGCCATTTCCAGAGACCAATTCCAAAAGCATTTTGAGCAATGATAATGACTTTGGAGTCAGAACAGAACCTCCCAACGCAATATACAGTCAAGCATCACTTAACAACAGGAATACATCCTGAGAAATGTCATCGGGCATTTTCATTGTAGTTGGGACATCATGGGCTGTACTTCCACACACCTAGGTGGTAGCGCCTACAACACACCTCACCTGTATGGTATAGCTTATTGCTCCTAGGTACAAACCTGTACAGCATGTTACTCTCCTGAATACCATAGGTATCTGTGTACAGAAACGTATCCAAACATAGAAAAAGTGTGGTAAAAATAGTGTTCTAATCTTATGGGACCACTGTTGTGTATGCAGTACACTGTTGACCAAGACAGTTGGGCAGCACATGACTGGACTTTGAAGGGACAGGACTTGGAGACGCCAAGTTCTAGAATCAGAGGCACTCTACATCGCTGTCACGTCAACATTATGGAGAATCCTAGAACTTTAGGACTGAAAGGAGCCTTTCAGGGTGTCTCACTCAGCCTCCCACCCTACCCAGTAATCCCATCTACAGCCCCAGCAGGGGCTCACTCAACCGGAAGCTCCATGTCACCAGGGACTAGGTCTCTTGCTCACCACTCTACAATTCTTTTTTTTTTTTTCTGTTGCTGCTTTCTTTGATATGCACCCTTAACTGAGAGGACTCTGGAAGCAGGGGTGGCAGCAGCTTGCTGGTTCTTCTTTCTTCTCCCTTCAGCCAGGCAAATTCCAACTCACACATTCAGAAATTTACAAAAGAAAGAGCCTTTATAATATTAAGGCTCCTCCTCCCCATCTTTCCCAGGTTCTGAAGGTCATTGAATCCTCGGACTCCAAGTGTCAGATGGGGTGTGGGGGCTGCTGTCAGAAGGAGAAACATTGGGTGGGCAGGGTCAAAGTTGTTTCCCAATTGCTCCCAGCCGGGGGCACCTGCAGAGCTGTCCAGAGCTGCGATTCCACCCATACTAGCCCTTCCCTCCTTGACATCTGATTTTGACTGGATTGCTAGTTCCTGCTCTGAGATGAGTGAAGTCAGAGCTAGTGTTAGCAGCTACCCTTTAGTAAACAGTTTGATTAATGTCCGTCTCCCCTACTAGACTGTAAGCTCCATGAGGGCAGAAGCCATGTCTGTTTGGGTCAGCTCTGTCTCCCTGGTGTCTCTTGGATTTCATGACACAATGAGTGGATGAATGGAGTTGGACCAAGTCAATGGATGGCCACCTAGAGGCATCACCTTGGAAAGGGGTATCAGAGGGAGGTACCCCTTGGCAAAAAGGACTTTAAAGCTGGTTGTTAGGCCCCAGCCTCCCGTTCTGTCCTGCCCTACTTGAGGAAGAGAAGTGATAACTTAGTTCACACTCTGAGGTGTAAATATCCACAGAAGCTCCAGGGGCAGCCTCTCACAGGGGAAGGTTATTAATTAACAAATATTCCAGAGGCTGAGATAGGGCTTGAGGATGGAGAAAAGAAGCAGAGACTCCGCCCCAGCTCCAGCTGCACTCAGGAACTCACAGGCAAATAAGCAGATCAGACACAATGTTGCAGGGGGCGCAGACCGCCATTCGAGAAGAGCAGAGCTGGCTTCATGGGAGTTTAGAGATGGAGGCTGCGAGGGCGGGTTTCTGGAAGAAGCAGGGTGTGCAGAGGAAGGCGGACATGGTGAGAAGGAGACAACAGGGAAAGGACATCCAAAGCAACGTGGGATGTGCAGAGCATGGGGCTGAAGGAGGGGCTGTGGTAAGCAGGAAATGGTTTAATTGGGGCCTCATGGGGGAGGATGCTAGTGGGGTGAGGCTGAAAAGATGGGATGGGATGAGGGAATCTAGATTTTTTAATCAGGAAAAGCTCAGACCGAAGAAATTGAACTTTAATTCTTCCCCTCATTAAAATTGTGATAGGTGAAAATTTATTAACATAGCATTCCTAGTGTTACTCCACCCCCTTCTTTCCCACTCCACACCACCTCCTATTAATCAGGGCCCTGGATTTGCTTGTTTTGTTTCCTTTCCTTTTTTTTTTTTTTTTTTTTTTTTTT